AGAGGTCGCGAAATTGTATGACGTCAATACATTCTGCTGTACTATAGTTGTTTTACTAGGCAGTAAGCCTAGATGCGTTTAAACCACCTCATCCCCCTACCGCCTTATATGGTCGAACACATACATTGTAACTTTATTACTTCTTTCTCACAACGAAACTCTTGCTGTAGAGATCTTCCACTGTGTAAGACCTTAGAATGTCCTTTTGAATACGGGAGGGAAAATCCTGATTTGTGCTTTGTTTTTAAGGAAACGTTGCAGCATCTATTGACTACGCGCTTTTGTCCAATCTACACTAATAATCACTCTTGCTTATTACTAACAGGTAGAGTTGGCTCTTGGAATGGAATATTCGTTGCTTAGTTTTTTTCAATTAGATACTTAACTCATTTTATAGTTCCTTATCTAGTGACTGCTTAATTAAATTGTCAGTCTGCTAACTGGAAAGTCTATTTGACAAACATGTGTTTGTGGCAATTTATCATCGGGCCCGTACAGTTGCACTGATAATGAAAATATTAAAGTTGGACAGGTGTTATAAATGTCTTGTGAGTAAAACAAACCATTTTCTTACCGCCCGCATGGCGAGATCGACATAAAGGGGTTATTTTACTGGGAGAGGGTGGACAGTCAAATATACTGTGAGTACTGTACATAAGTAGAGTGAAAATCACTGTCACGTGGACAGAATGAACGACTGTCACCAGGGGGTGGGGACGACATGCAGTAGCCACCTTGTGTTGGCCATGGAAGTGCCAGTGCATATAGTAACATCTTCTGACAACATAGTACTGGTAATTATTCATAGCCAGTTTCGATCGGTTGTAGTTTCGAAGACTTATTCGCTTACATAGCATGTTTTTTTATTTACGACTATCCTTATTTTTACCTCTGTACTTTTGTACCTGTTGCCATTTCCCCCACCCCTGAAAGCCCCTCCTACCACCACTCCAGTTTTACACAAACCTGTGTTTACGGATTGCAGGATGGGATACCAAAACCTACATTTACTTTTATCCGTCATACTGGGTACCTTTGTATGCAGATGTTTGGTTTGGCGTCGTAGGGCACCCAGTTGAATGAGTGATACCTTGATTCTTTTTGCAGATTCTCTCCGAAGAGGCAAGCCCGATCACCGTCTGGGAAGATTACTTTGCTTGGAATCCCGATCTGACAAGCCCTATCAGAGGCCGGAAGTGACCGTCCATCCCCTGCCCGTACAGGCTGGCCCCTACTACTATCATCCCCAACCTCAGGCCGGTTCAGTCAGCTTCCTGCCGCACAGCGACTGTTCCTCTAAGTTCCCCGAACCCTACACCACACCCGCATACGCACACGTCCGCCCCTACCTGGGCCGCGGCG